ATATAAGAAGTCTAGAGACAGTCAACCTGGGCCTGAAGTGGTATCTCTATGATGCCAAAAGGGAGGCTGGGCCCATTTATCTCTACTGTATTCAGAAGATGGCTACAAGAGCTGAAGAATTATGTACTAATTACAGACAAGAAAATAGAGGGTGAAGAACAGGAAAATCACACCATCTGAGGCTGACTCTTCATTAGAAAAACAACTGTCCCAGGAGCCCACCAATAAAGCTAAACACGTATCATTAGCAGGCAGTATAATATATATCATTAACTGGAAGTGAGTCGCATAGACAACACTAGCTGGGAGAAACCTGGGAGGTGAACAGTTTTAAACAGGCACATTTTCAGTCTGAAAAAAAGAACTGATAGAGCACCTGTAAAAAAAAATAATAAGTGTAACAAGACCTCCTGAGCAAATTGGGAGCACAGGGGGAGGGGAAAGAGAGTCAGGAGAAAGAGAAGGCAAGAAGAGGGAGAGACATGAGGGACCAGGAAGATCGAGTCAGGGAAAGAATAAAGAAGGAGAGCTAGAAAAGAGATACCATAATAAAGGAAGCCACTATAGGTTTAAAAAGAAATCTGGCACTAGGGAAATGTCCAAAGACCCACAAGAATGACCCCAACTAAGAATCTAATCAACAGTGGAGAAGTGGAGAGGCTTCCTTAAATGCCTTTCCCCTATAATGAGACTGATTACTACCCTATATGCCATCCTAGAGCTTTCATTCAGTAGCTGATGGAAACAGAAGCTAAACACTGAGCCAAACTCCCAGAATCCAGTTACAGAGAGGGAGGAGTGATGAGCAAAGGGGTCCAGACCAGGCTTGAGAAACCCACAGAAACTATTGACCTAAACAAGGGACCCAAGACTGACAGCTTGGAAACCAACACAGGATCTAACCAGGCCCCCTGAATGTGGGTGTCAGCTAGGAGGTCTGGGCAGTCCATGGGGCCTCTGGTAGTGGATCAGTATTTATCCCTAGTGTAGGAATGGACATTGGGAGCCCATTTCCCACAGAGGTATACTCTCTGAGCCCAAACACACAGCGAAGGGCCTAGGCCCTGCCCCAATGATTTGACAGACTTTGGTGATCCCCCATGGAAGGCCCCCATGGAAAGTATGAGATGGGGGTTGAGGGGGGACAGGGGAGGAGGGGAGAGAGAGGAAACTGGGATTGATATATAAAATAAGATTGTTTCTAATTTAAATGAAAAAAAAAAAAAACGAAGTGCAAATGAACGAAGGGTGATTGATAAGATGTGCTCACTGCAGAGACCATGCAGGATAACACATACTGGCTATATTGGGTGACTGCAAATACAACTTTCTATATTAGTCAGGTGATGGTTATCTAACCAGACTATTTTGATGGTCACTTTTAGAATCACAGATATAAACTGTAAAATTATCCTAGGCTGGGGCTGACAAAAGTGGAGCCTAAAACAGGGTATATCTTGAGAGAAATTCGTAAGGAAAGGATAGGAGCAGCAAAGGAAAGGGAAATAAACCAAGCAAGCATGCATTCACAGATCAGGCTAAACACTGGCCTGATGTACAAGAGAGCCTGCATCACTACACAGAGTTGTCTCACCTTGAGAGCATGAAGCAGAGCTCCTTGGCTTTGGTTAGTCTTGTCAGCTACTAGAGAAGGGCCCCGTCCTTCCATGTCTGGGGGCTTCAACTTCCATCAGCCAGGGACAAATCTCCAGAGAGGATTACAAGTGTGAGCTGCTTAGGAAAGCAGTCACCACAGCTAGGAAATGGGAACACAACCCCCTAATGTGGAACTGGGTGCACATCAATAACATTTACTATTCATTTGAATATGGTCTCTAAAGAATTGCCTTCATTTTTTTTTATTTTTTGTATTATTTGAGAGTATAACCTTACATAAATCCCTAGGATTAGCAGTACTGGAAAAGCTGGCAGCAAGTTGCAAGTGTCTCATTTGAAGAAAACAAATGAATAACAGGTGTTGACTTGTTTTGCAGAACCACTAATGGAGGGAGCACCTTATGATGCTCTGGGTATTAACTAGAATCTGCTGTGTTGCTCACAATCTTGTCAGGGCACATTAATATCTCACAGTCTTAGGGTCTCATTTAAAGCTCAATGAATATTTAATTGATGTTGACCAACAAAATAAGCAAAAGAATTATGTTGCATTTAGTCAGATCTGAAATGAGCGAGCTCTTCATTTTCTCAAGCAGTCTGAGGCTAATATAATTCACCTTCATGAAATATTTTACATAATTTTATAAGTACTTACAGGGCTGCAAAATCATCTTGAAAGGCATATATTAAATATTGAGAAAACTATGGAATAAAGTGCACTTTTAAAGTTAAATGCAAGAGAGTGGTATAGGCTATATTACTTTTTCCATAGTGAATCAAAAATACCAGCAACCTCTTTTTGACTTAAGAAGCAAAAATAAAATCTTTTCTTTGGCCCTTGCAAATTAAATATTCTATAATATACAGAATCACAGGAATCCATGCATAATTGCTCCAAATCAGTAAGCCCAGAAATTGTTTTTGAGGTCTAAGTCCATCCAACACAGAGCCAGACATGGAAAAACATTTTTTATTAGGGTCACAAAGTGGTGCTTTTTAATCGATATCAATTGCTACATACAATATTGCACGAATTAAAGATGTATCAACAATTTATGATACAGACTCATTAACAATTATATAAAACTACACGGTGCATTTTGGTGGTAGGTACTTTAGTAAATAGCAAATATTAACCCCAGCTACTTCATAAAAATCAGCCTTCCATAAAAGAACTCACAGGTCACTTAAGATGTCAACACAAGTCAAGACAGTTCTGAAGAAAAGCCTGGCATGTCTCAAAGCTGAGGCAGGACGGTAGAGAGTGAGGCTGGCCTAAAGCCTGGCATGTCTCAAAGCTGAAGCAGGATGGTAGAGAGTGAGGCTGGCCTGTACTCCATAGCAAAATCACAACTCAAAAGACGAGTGAGAAACATACTAAAAAATTCAGCTATTTCATGTAGGAACCAGAGAGTATGTGCGCATTGGGAACTAGAATGAGATACTTCCATGTTCTGCTCCAGAGGTCCTGTGCTCCAAGAGTCATTCCACTGCTACAGGGTCTCTGTAAGAAACTACTGTGTCAAAGTTCTAAACAAACAAGATGGTAATTCATACAAAGGGTTTAAATGAGACTTTTCCATTCAAAACTAATGCAATCTCCATAAATTAAGACAGTCTTATGAAAATGCTGCCCAGGCACGGCCCCAGGCCACCACTCGCCTCCACTGAGTGACTCACAGCACTGGTGTCATCTGTGAGGAAAGGAGAGCTGGGTACCGTCTAGCTCTTCTAACTTGTCCTCAGATCTAGTCTCCACACACACAGGGTGAAGTGCAGTGAGCTAGCTGGCTGCTTGTCACAACAGCTTCCAACTGAAAGGTCTAAGCAAACCATTGCAAAACACGTCCTAGGAGGTGGACTGATACCAGGCCTGGCAGCTCCCACCTCTGATACCATCACTCAGAAGTCGAACTGTTGAGGGGCAGGCAAACGAGGCACCTGATAACCACATTTCTAATAAAAATGTAAAAGGCCATGGCAAATGTGAGGAAATGAGCTACCACTATGCTGTCCCGCCTGGATCTTTGGGTGCACACTTGTTATCCGTGGTCACAAAGCACACTGCAGTGTTAAGAGAGGGTAGGAGTTTCTGTACAGAAGGCGACCCAAAGAAACCAATGGTCTCTCAGATACAGATTCCAAGACAACAGATACCAGGTTTTGGGATTCTTAGCACACTGGTTTGATTTCCAAAATGCATCACTTTATTTTCCCCTTGAGATGGCACACATTATTAAACTCTGAGCACGTGATGACCACATGATTTCTTCAGTAAGCTCCCAGGTAGATCCTGGCTCTCCTGGAGCTTGGAGACCTGAGGTTTCAAATGTTAAAGCTTTCACCACAGCCACAAGTTCCTTTGATGTTGGGGTTATTGAAAACAAACTCACTGGAAAGTTTGTCCTCCACATAGTCCATTTCGGTTCCTAAAAGTGTTAACTGTGCTTTCTTTTCGATAAACACTCTGACCCCATCTTGAACAACTTCTTCATCAGAGTCTCCTTTTGTCTTTGTATACTCCAGGGTGTAAGAGAGGCCGTTACAGCCCCTAGTTCGCACACCAACTTTCAGACCCACATGCTCTGGTTTGTCTTTGAGAAGCTGTTTTATCTTGTTCACAGCCGAGGGAGTCAGCGTGAGCGCCGCCCACGTGGGCTGCAGCTTGGGCTTGCTCACGCAACGCCACTGCCGCCGACATGGCCAGGTCGCGGCGCCCGCAGCCTCGCTCAAGCCGGAGGCTCGGGGCGGCCTCAGACTCTCTCCATGGACACGGCGGGCCAGAAAAACATTTTTTTTAAAAAAGAAATATTGGCTCATGTTGAAAATGGAGGAGCTTTCTCAGGGAAGAAGCCTCCCTGAGCTCTGTTCAATCTCTTAAGTATCAGAACTGGGCTTTAGCTGATCACAGACAACATGGGGATGTGTCACTTCTACCATATTTCTCTGTGAATATTCTTTGCAAACACATGCATCTGGCTTATGAATTTTTAAGGTATATGTTTGCAAAGAATATTCATAGAGATATAAACAATATTTGAAATTTCCTTTGTGAATGGGATCTCATGTAGTCGAAGATGGCCTCAAACACATTTATATGGCCAAGGCTGACAGAGGCAGAAAGATCAGGAATACAAAGTCAGCCTTGGATTGCAAGTTGGTTGAATCCATGTCTATGGGTCCTGCTTGCCCAAAGGGCCAACTGAACACATTTCTATTTGTCAACTTACAAAAACGTAAATTGGGAAAAATTCTATTCACAAAGGCAGTATGAGTAAAAGCCAAAAATGAATACAACCTTAATATAAATATTAAAATGCTTATTTTCTCACATCTACATGTAAAGCTTGAATTGAATGTCTCTTCAATGTCATGTGACTTACCTGCTTATCAAAAGCTACCCAGGATGGTACATCGGTTCCATCTCCTTTGGGAAATACACTGTTTTTAGGCTTTATCTTTTGTCCAGGTAGCAGCTCTCCACCTATTCCAGGCTTCTCATCACTCACCAGCATCCTGACATTGTTACAAAAGCCCCAGTGTTGGGATTTATGGAACTTCTCCTTTCCCATCTGTGAGTACAAAAGGCAATAATTTTTAAAAAGTGGCCAAAATTATTTCTGAATTTTCTTACAGTAAAGGCTTTTTCCAACATAAATATATTCCCCATGTTTAGTTTTCCCATCACAAAATGCATATGAAGTGTCAAGTATTGTGAGCAATCTCTATCCATAAATTTTAAATTCACATTTTAAATTCAGTTTAACTAATTTAAGACTTTGAAAAGCAGTAAGAATAAAGCTAATAGTCCATACTATTTACAATATTTCAAAATAAAGATTACGACAAGTGAACATTTAGAACACTGGTTTGCTAATTGGCCTATTTTCCTTAATTGTGAAGAATGCAACACAGAAAATCAAGCAAACAAACAAACAAAAACGTGTTGACTTCAGAGAAGAAAGCCACTGTTTTTCACGGGAGCCTAAGCATTACATTTACCAAAACAGAAAACAAAATCTTGTCCTCATCAACATTAATATAATGGAAAATTCTTCACAATTCTAATTGTGATACCTTGCCTCCCACTATTTTTGATGGTGTGAACAGAGAGAAGCCACAAGTAAAGCCAGGGGTTGAAGGATGAAGACCACATTCAATCCACAAGTGTTGCTGCTGACAAAGGCAAGGACCACCAATGGAAACACAGAAGTAGCATCTCCTAGCCTGGCAAAACTTCTCCTGAGAGTCTCTTGCCTATAAGCACAGGGGGCTGGATAGCAGATGCCCTTCAATTTTATAAAAATGATAAACAGCAGTCTCAGTGCCTGCTAACTGTAAAAAGATACCTCAATTGTGTTAGCTTTACATTTAAAAGTCTACAATAACTGTACTGATATAATATAATCAATTGTTAAAATCACACACACACACCACTTTATAGGTAGCAAAAGAGCTGTTATATGACTTTTCCTGGGGAGATACATGGAGGCATCTATTTTCCTGGATAGGGCATTGACAGACCAAAGATACTTGTCCCTCTAAGTCCAACTTGATGAACCAACGAGTTTGTTGGTGTTACACTATAAGAGAATGCTGGCTCCCGAGAAACTATATCTCTAAAAAGTCCCACCCTGATATTAGTGATGCCTCCTGGAAGCTGTATCAATGAAATGGAGTCCTTTCCACAGCCAACCTTAATTTCCTAAATATCCAATACTCTAGCATTTCCCAAGTCCACATGCAGCTAAGGCATGATTATATGCAGCTGTGGAAAGCAGGGAGGCTGGAGTGGATGGAATCCCAGGCGCAGGTACACATAATATATGGAAGAATGTTATCCAGACCAACCTGAAATTCCTGGGTTCAAGAGATCCTCTTACCTCAGCTGCTCAAGGAGCAAGGATAGAGGTGTGTTCCGCCATACCAGGCTTACAGGTCAATTTTTAAAATTCTGGTGCTATGGTTTATCTACTTAAAACGTCATTGCTACAGATCTAGGAAGTCCAAAATCCTCAAGTGATACATTAAATGGCTGCCCAAACTAAAATTTGATCTTGGTAAAACAATCAGGAAGGAGCCATTAAAGATTTCCCAAAGGCTTCAGGCTGTCCTAGTTTTCTTCCTGTTCCTGTAATAAAATACTCTGACCAAATGCAACCTAAGGGAGGAAAGGGTTTATTTGGCTTACATTTCTAGGTTGCAGTCCATATGAGGAAAATTAGGACAGGAACTCAAGCAGGCACTTGAAGGCATAAGCCATAAACATGGCTTGCTGACTTGCTCAGTCATTGGCTCATGTTTATCTAGCTTTCCCATTAAAGCCCAGGACTATCAGCCTAGGTGCTTCTCACAGTAGGCTGGGTTCTTCCACGTCAGTTAAGACAATCAAGATAATCCACCACAGATGTGCAACGTGCCAAAGTCCCTAAACTGAGACTCCCTTTCAGGTGATTCTAATTGATGTCGAATTGTCAGTCAAAGCTAAGACACATGGGGCAGATAATGCAACACATTTAAAGACAGATTGATAGGATGGACTCAAAAGCAGATGATCATCTGAAGATGACAGATTTGTAAAAGATGCAGCTACCATGCTGGTTACATGACGCTCTTGAGGAAGACTAAATCCTAGCATGTTTACATGAACTAAGACATCTTTTTCCCAAACTAGGGTATCTTGGGCTTGGTAGTAATGTGTCTGCCTTGTGTATAAGGTCTGGGGTTCTTGTATTCCCCAAACTACAAAAACGAACTTTAAAAAATATAGTGGTACTTATATATCCCAGGGTTAGCTAATAGTCAACTAACTGAACTTAAGGTTCACTCAATAGAACTTCATACCTGAGGCTACAGATCCTACAGGAGAGCCTACTGTTGGTTGTCACCTTACTAAACCAGTATAATTTCTAACTGTATTTGAAATACTTATTCTTACATCCACAGATAAATGTAGCTCCATCCCTCATCAAAGAAACGTCTATGTGCAGCAGACAGGCATTACAGAAAAACACAACTGGTCAAAATTCACAGATTGACTGATCATGAGTGCCTGTCCCAAGTTGATAATTTGTACTTCAGGCTCAGGCAACATCAAGGTAGAATGGGCAGAAGGATTGTAAGAGCAAGAGGACCAGGACATCTGCTTCAAGATAGAATCTTCTTTAAAAACAAAAAGGACATGAAGTGGGGGGGGGGGGGAAGAAGGGGTGAATCTCAGAGGAGTTGGTGGAAGAGTTAGTGGTTAATGTAATCAAGACACTTTGTGTGAAATTCTCAAAGAATCAATATATTATTAAACCTATTTTAAAATTAAATCCCTGCACTTCAGAAATTAAGAATAGATCTACCTCAAGACCCAACTATACCACTCCTAGGCAGATACCCAAAGGATGCTCAATCATACCACAAGGACATTTGCTCAAGTATATTCATAGCAGCTTTATTTGTAATACCTGCAACCTGGAAACAACCTAGCTGTCTCTCAACAAAAGAATATATAAAGAAAATATGGCACATTTCCACAATGGGGTACTACACAGCTGTTTAAAAAAATGATATCAGGAAATCTGAAAGCAAATGGATAGAACTAGAAACCATCCTGAGTGAGGTAACTCAGACCCAGAAAGACAAACATGGTATGCACTCACTCATAAGTGGATACTAGCTGTGAATTAAAGGATAACCATGCTACAATCACAGACCCAAAGAGTCTAGGTGACAAGAAAGGATCAAGGGGGAATGCTTAGATCTCCCTCGGAAGGGGAAATAGAAGCGATCTCTTGGGTAGACTAGGGGTAGGTGGGAATGGGATTATGAGGGATCTGGTTGGGGTGAATGTAGAGGGAGTACTAAAAGAGATGACTGGAAAGGGATGGCATTTTGGAGTCAAGTAGAAACCTGGTGCAAGGAAGGAAAACTCCCAGGAATCTACAAGAATAATCCCAGCTAAGACTAGCAATAATAGATTCATGGCCTGAACTGGCTATCTTCTTTGGCCAGGCAGTATTGCCAATGGAGGGACTGGGACACCAGCCCAGCCACATAATCTTCCACCTACAGTCTGTCCTTGGGATGTGCTGGGGTAAAGGTGACACAGATTGTGGAGTGGCTAACAAATGACTAATCCAGTATGAGACTCATGCCACAAAAGTGAACCCACCCCTGACACTGCCTGAAGTGCCAGGACACAGAGGCTGGATGGCTCAGAGACCTAGGACAGAACCAAATATGATTGGCAAAGAATTGTATGGAATGCTGCCTAATATTCTGCTATACTCATAGACTGGTTCCTGGCCCAAGTGTCATCAGAGAGTCTTCATCCAGCAGCTGATGGAAAGAGATGCAGAGACCCACAGGCCAACACTAGGTGGAGCTCCTGGAATCCTACAGAAGAGGGGAAGGATAGATTGTAGAAACAATGGGGAGGTAGGGGGATCAAAGACACCACAAGAAAACCCACAGAAACAACTAACTAGGGCTCATAGGAACTCACAGAGTCTGAAATGACAACCAGGGAGCCTGCGTGGGACTTATGTAGGCCCTCTATATAAGTGACAGTTGTTTAGCTTGGTCTTCATGTGGAACTCCTAACATTGGGGCAGGGGCTGTCTCTGACTCTTTTGCTGGCTTCTGGGAACCTAGTCTTCATACTGGGTTGCCTTGTCCAGTCTTAACACAAGGGGCTGTACTTAGTCTTACTAAAACTTGATGTGCCATGTTTTGTTGATATCCACAGGAGGCCTGACCTTCTCTGGATAGAAACAGGGAGAAGCAGATTATGGGGTGTCATGAAGAGAGGGGGTGACAGGAAGAGAATGAGAGGAAAGGAGGGAGGGCAAACAATAAATAAATTTAATTTTTAAAAGGCACCAAAAAAAAAAAATGTCTCCATCAGTTGCTGGATGAAGACTCTCTGATGACACTTGGGCCAGGAACCAGTCTATGAGTATAGCATAGGTTGCACACAAACATTGAGGTACTATTTCCAAGTATGATGACAGATTTCCATTCTATCTTCTCCCTTTCTGTAAAGGGAAAGTCTCAGTTTGACAGCACAACACTAACTTCATTGTAGGCTTCTGAAACACATCACAACTACAACAACAAAAAGCAGGCCCTAGACTTGGCATCAAATTTAAAGACACCATTTTGTTTCAACTTTTTTTCTTACTGTGATCTTCCCCTTTTTATCAAGTGGATCTAAAATATTTAGTTTTATTGGGATTCAATTGGCATAGTTGCTAAGTATATAATGGATATGTTGAAATGCATATGGCTTTATTTTTAATACTGAAGGTGAATTGCATGATGCCTAAGTTTGGCAATCCCTGACTCCCTGGTACAGATGCCAAAGAAACAGGTAACTTAAGAGAAACTGGGCATGGTATCACCCATCTGAAATGCCAGCATTTGGAAAGCTTGAGTTTGAGACCATCCTGAGCTACATGGTGACTTCCTGTCATAATAAAGGAAAGAACCCCAAAGAAGGACAGGGGTTTGAAGAGAGAAAAGTTATCTTGGCATCAATGTAACCCTTAGAAGCTGTGTTATGTCATGCACATGCTAGTAT